ACGGTAACATTAAGAACACACTAAAACACTAAGTACAGAAAAATGCAATTCAATTATTTATTTTGGAGCTATCGTAGCACTCGAGATGCATAATCATATCCGATTTCGATTATAAGAAAAATAATAATGAAATCGATACGTGAATCTTAATGGAATGAATGAACTTGAATGTGACTGCAATCATTAACGATGTCTGAAGTATGATTTGTTAATGACAGTCCTGGTGTCGACGTCAAATTCAGCCTATTTCGATATTTAGTCTTGACTGCAGGGATTGCTGAGAATGCACACATTACGTTTAAGGAAATGGAAATAAGACACTAAATTCCTTTTAATTTAATACTCGTTCTATTCGCACTGCACTGCAGGTATCGCAAGACACGACCGACGGTCGTATAGAAACCAAACCGTCGTTTTATCTGTTATAATTACATTATAATTGTTCGTTGTTGATGGTCGTTTTTCGACTTCTCCTACATTGTTTAAGTATTAACACTATATTATTAATTATTGTACATTTCATATTGTAACTGGCTATTTGTTAAAATATAACATTTTATAAACGTGCACGTCGAATTAATTCTTCTCATCAGCCACTTTTGATTATTGGTTCGATATTTTCAAAATAACACTTGAGTTTCGCGGAACACAGTTTAAGAAACACTGTCATGTGAGGAATAGTGTTATGCTAGTTTTGCAATAGTATTACTGCGTAATTCTGCTGCAATAGTATCACTCTACGCGTTCGCCAAAACGATATGGACTATTAATTCGACATTAGGACGGTATAAAAGCGATAATAACATGCTTAAACATTGTTCGAGTGGCAGATAGCGTTAGGCACCGTAATCATGTACGTTATTACGTTGTTCTCGGAGACGGGGTTATCTAAGTCGTCATATAAATCAATGGTCGCCCTCAAACCGACCAGTTTTAGATCCGTCATTGTTGGATCATAACACACAGGGCCGGCGCGAGAGGGTGGGCAACAGGGGCAGTTGCCCAGGGCCCCGCGCCTTAAATTATAATTAAGGCCCGGCGGTTCTGATTTAACTGAACTTCAAATATTTTATTAATATAAATTATAAGACCCAACATTTATTTTTCTCAGGGCCTCGCAAGCTGTAGCACCGTCACTGACCATACACATAATATGTATAATATTATTACAATAAATTTTATACGGCCGCGTTGGCAGAAGCGGCACGCATGCAGTGACTCACTGCACAATGCACCCGTCAGAATATCTCTTCCCGTGAAACGTTTACGTTTCTTCAGTTTTCGTCGAAGTCGCGAGCAACCGAGAGACGACTCATCGCCTCGCAATCGTATGCGACTATAATGTTTCGGGGTTATGTACACGCAGTCTTGGCGACGTTGACGATGGGCGAAAGACGTTTCGAAAACAAAGAAACGAAAGCGAAAACGATAGCGCACGTAGTACGGGCGTCTCGCATACTAGCGAACGAATTGTACAGTTCAAATCACGTACAATTCGTTGTCGTTGCTCGCATACACATACGCGTACTCCGTGTAAATACACGTTCACGATTATTTGAAGACCGAATTATGTCATTCGGTAAGTTTCCGGTGTGTGCTGAAATCCACGACGAAGAAAGCAACTGTAATGTCGTTCGAAGGTCTGAAATACAACGTACTACGTAATCGTCAAACAACTGCGTTACGTTGATTCGTCGTACGTTTTACGTAGGGAAAATAAAATCGTAAGAAAGTTCGTTGTGCGCGGAGAGTTTCGTTTTAAGCAACTGGGTGTGTACGTATATTGGGTATGATATGTTGTACATCGCGTTTCTGCAACACGAAGATCGACACTTGACCGTATTTCTCCAGGCGAGCACACAAGTCCCGCGTGAACTATAGCACTGTAGTTAAGTGTCGTTTTTTTCATCCCGGCAGTCCGACAGGTATAGATTATATCCCGGCCGCACGCATCGCGTGCGTTCGCCGCGATAATAATACGGATTGGGTACGCGCATAAACAATAGAAATGTTGCAACGGGTGAACGCATGCGCAGGTTCGCGGCAGGACACGGGACGCGCGTGATCCTTGGTGAACAAATGAACGTAAACGTGTGCGCACGAGTTGCGAATATTACTGCGCACGTGCGACGAAACCCAAAAGCGAAACCAGCCACGAGATATCCGTTGCAACACAATCCGGCGCATTCACAACACGCGACTGCCGCGATCGAGTAATTCCGTGTACTGTGTATGTATTGTCTATTTATCATTACCGGAAGAATTATCCGCAAAAATCTTATAGTCGGGTAACACCTAACGATCATTTTTCGTTTAAAGGAATCAACATTAAAATGCGTACATCCTGTATTTTCGAGCATCCTTCTTTGGACCTACAAATCCTGCGTCTGACATGACGGCGCAACCGTCGGTACTACAGGACACACGTTCGTCGACACTTGTCGAACGATAACCTGCGAGCCTCCGACTAACCCATTGTAATTACGGCCGTCTTACCGCGTCTCAGAGCTATACCGAGGTCGGTTCGCGACTGTAATAGCGTTCTGTCGACCAAACTTATCGGGGCAACCGTCGGACTTCTCGAACGGTTCCGAGTATAAGATAAAAGGACCGATTATTGCCGAACGATTCGACATTGCTGGCCAGAACGGAATCCTTCGAGCACGCGAGGGCATCGTTTTCGACGAGCGATCCAATATTTTTTTTCGTTTTCCCACTCGCTCTGCAGCTGCACGTACCGCGATGACTTTCAAAACGTACTCGTACGTTATGGCGCACGCGATCTATTATTACGCGTTTCTTCGACGTTAACGAACGCGTTGTACTGTTACAGCCGGTGACGAGAGAAAAACCACGAGAACCAGCGGCGTATTTAAGAATCGTTGTAGGGAGGGGATGGGCCATTGAATGACGTACATAAAAGTGGGGTGCGCTACTCCCCCAACATCCCCCTTTGAGTTTTTTTAAAAAAAATACTCACTTAATGCGGTGTAATATTAATAATAATATATTTTTATACGGAATAAAAATAGTTTACTCTTTACACCCTACAAATATTTATTTTTATTGTAATTATTTATTATTTGCGATTAAAATACGAAATCAAGTTTTCTTTGTTCAGATGCACTTCATCGATTACTTCATCAGTATTTATGTCTATTGCCCCATAAACTGATAAAAGTGCTGGTCCGTTAAGACGTCCCTAAGAAAAAAAAATACCAGGGGGGACTGATCCCTCAAATCCCCCCCCCGTAAACACGCCGCTGACGAGAACCCCATCCCTTCGTCGAATGCCGTTTACGATCGGCAGGACGCGTGCGCGCGCTAACGGTGGAGCTAAACAGACGGATGCCGAATAGAACCAGCGTGTAACACGTAGACCCCGATAACGATCAGCAAGAATTTCATGGTTTTCTTTTCGTTTCCATCCACCCGGACAAAACGCGTTCATTGCGCATTGCAAAATCGAGTAACGCACTTTATACTGTTTTTTTTTTCAACGAGTCAATTAAAACGCGTCAGATAATAAATAGGTAGGTATTTTTTGCGAAATAAACAAAACTTACACCGTAATCAACAAACGGTTTGCTGATTAAAAATCTTTTCCATTACGTTGTCCATGAGAAATGGATTTTTTTCTCACTCCGTGTATAAATTCTTCACGCTGTTTATCTGGGCGTAAAAAAAAAAAAAAAACCTCGTTAACTTATCACGAACCAAACGTCAACGTTTTCGATCGTCATGAATATTTATCGCATTTCGATTTGCTCCGACTGTTTACGTTGTTGAATACGTCATGTTAATAACGGAGCTGCTTCTAAAGCAACGGAAGTCTGGAACGCTAAAGTATTTTTCTCGAAGACGGTTCGACTGAAATTAATTTAAGTGAGCAAACGCGCAGATGGGCAACAATCCGAGAAAAATAGTCGAGGGTAAATATTTTAAATTCGAAATTAGTCGTATTGTACAACGCACGCCTGAAACCAGAACAGAAAAAAAAAATCATCCGTCTAAAGAACTATGGAGTAATTTTTAACTCTTCTTTCGACACATATCCGCATACCCCCTAACTCCACAAATAAACAAAATTTAATTATGCGACACGCATAATTAATCATACCAGCCGCCCCTTTGTATAAAAATAACGAAATATTTTTTTACATCAGCTTTTGTTCTTATTATTGTTTTCGAAGACATTTCTATGATCCGGATTAACTGCTATTATAAAAAACTAACGAGCGAGTATCTATGTGTACTCGTTGGTAGTATGATGGGTTCTTATTGGGGTGTCATCAGTTTAAAGTATCTTGACTACAATAATATTAATTTTTTACGTTGTAATGCACACTCGTAATGTAGTTCATCGAAATAAACGGACGGAGTATAATTTCACTTTCGTTTTTAAATTAGTATCTATACGAATAATATACGCTGTGTACAATTGATGAGATGTACCAGACGAGACGAGAGCTCATGCCATTGAAGGGGCGGCTGTCTTTAAATATCAAAGCAAATGATAAATCATCGTGTTCAAATAGAAACGTTCCCAATGGAATTCGGTTTGCTACGTAAAAGAGTTTATTGATTGAGGCGCTCTTAAAAATAGTTTTTTCACGGGTCTTTAATTGTTTTATAAAACGGTTAGAATATTGCGATCAGATCAATTAAACACAAATTTCATTAACCCGTACACAATATAAAAACTACACGTTCTATCATACGAAATGGTTGCTGCAGTCGTACACGTCATAAAACATTTGATTGCGACAAAAATCGAACATTAAAAAAAAATAAATACCGACCGCGCAATTGTTGAAATCTTATCCGAAAAGTAATTTTAAAGGCCAATTAAAATGGAAAACTTTAAAATTTAAAATTTCATCGACGTAATTTATGTAATTTAAGTAATAATAAATGGTAAATTTAAATTTAAAATTCACTGCATTTTCAAGGATAACTTGAATAAAACTAATAATGTTATTAATATCGATGGTACGTACCTTGAACAACTGTTGAAACTTGAACCCTCTCAGCATATTGTATTCTTATACGAATTTTTCTATTTTCGTTATTGAAATAACAAAAACGTGATGGATACCAAACGACTCCACGGCGAGTTGCTGTCGAGCTTCGTTGATAAACATAATGATCGGCGATATGTTTCACATTGCGAGTGATACAGAGTTCGGTAATTTGATGTGTCCAAAGTTCAGCTATAGCAGTCGAAGAACGCTTGATATTGGATCATAACTGTTCCCCGTTCAGTATAGAATTAACAATTTTATTATAACTCACATGAATATCGGTTGAATTACCTATTTCCTTGTGTGCATATTATCTAGGAGAAAAAGCTCGTTTTCCTAAAAATCGTTTTGGCGATAATTGTGTGTCAAAACTGTTTACTGTTTAGAAAAATGTTCTTTCCTATAAGTATGACTGTTAATTAAGTTTGAATAAAAAATAATTTTTGTTTTCATTTTTTTATTGATGCCTATATTTTTATGTTATGTCATTGTGGTATAAAGTTTATAGAACTTAAAATTACTTCTCGTATATCGAGCAATAGGAAAAAATAAATGGGATATGTATGCAAATTCTGAGTACATGTAAAATATTTTCATCCCACCCCCCTTGTGGCTTCTCAAAAACTACCACAGGCAAAAGCAATATTCTCCGTTCCAAAGTAATCGACTTGAAAGTTGACGTACCGTAAATATGACGATATATGATTTAACGTATCAAATCGTTTCGAAAATTCGATTCGAACACATTACACGGCGCACGATAACGATATGATACGAACGGGCATGCACCTACAACGTGTTCGTGGAACGCGGCCTTAGGAAATGGTCGCCAGGAATGCGTACATGGACAGAGGTAATATATTCGTCTCGATCCGAAAGCTAGTCGATCAATCGTGTGTAATGTTGACGACGTCGGTCGTACGCGATCCAGAACGAAATGTAACCAACGAATTTTGAAAACAAAAAAAAAAAAAATCACCCCGTACAAATTTTACAGGAAAGCCGTGCACGAACGCACTTGCCGGGACGGTCCACAAAGCACGTCTACCGCGTGTCACGTGCGTCGAATTGATATTATCGGCGACAAAAAGTATTAAACTATTTAATATTTAACATAATTACATAAAAGCACATCGGTTGTGATACGCTGATTACGGTGATACAAGCCAGAAGACGGTAGACCGTATTATTAACGCAGACAATACGATAACGATAGTACGATATGGTGTAAAATCCCAAATATATTTATCTTTAGATTGTGTTGTCGGTATGGTAATATCCACTGGTTACAATATTATGGCAGGGTTTCAGCGTTTACACCATTTGGTAGGTGGGTAGGTACTATTAAAATTTGATATTCGCACGTGTACGGTATTGAATTTTGATGGCACGTCTTGTCTGTGCACCAGTGGCGCGCTCAAGTGGTGAACCGAGCGCGCGTAGTACACATAGGTATCTGGAACAGGACCGTCCAGGACACTGTCCTTACGAGTGTGTTGCACGACCGACGATATTGCCGTTCGTAAGATACGCTGCACGTTTCGGAGAAGCACACAACATGGCCATTTCTTCGCCCCGTCCGCGCGGCATCGTACCGATCTGCAGTGGCGTGGCGATATGGGTAATCGAGAGGCATTGAGAACCTGTGGTTTAATTCTGCGCGCTCGACGTAGAACTACTAACCAAAGGACCGTGTTAGTGCTCGGCACTATTTACGAGCCTTGGTCGGGCAGGACTACCGCTTGCGCGAGAATCCCGTTTCATCTATTGACCACCAGCACCGGCCTGAGCCGTATCCGTTTGGAACCCGTTGACCCGTCGGGTTCCCCCTGGGTGAGAGTTTTGTTACTATCTAGCGCCGGTCCCACAACCACCGGGTTGCAGCCGAAGTAGGCTACTCAACCTTGAGAGGCATCACATTCGAAGCGGCAAGTCGGTCCGGCATGTGATGGGGCTCTCCTCTCCCGTGGTACCAATTAGGTTAAGTTGATATTGGTAGATCAACCCGACACACCTTTTGAGTGTATCTCCCACTATTTTGATCCACGGGTGGATCGGCTAGTGGAGGGCCATTAGCCCCTTTAGCCGCCTCTTACGACAAGCCGGGTCGCTGTCGTCATATTCTTTTCCCTGACGACAGGGAGGTAATATTTCTTTTTTCTTTTTCTATTCTTCTTTCTTCTAACTTTCTTTACTTCTTTTCTTTCTTCTTCCGAAAACGTGGCACGATTCGCGGTTTCGACCGCAGCACCAGGTGCGACCGATTCGCGCACAGCTCGCCGGATACTTCATTCTGTTGCGAGCACGGCGCCGAGTCCCCGGGTGCGTGCGCGTCGCGAACAACGCCCCGAGGGCTGCGCACCCCAAGCGCGGTACAAAGAAAAAACAAGACAAAACAAACACAATATCGCGTACGAAACAATATGATACGTATACGGCGGATGTGTATGTGGCGGGTCGAAAACTCGACAGATGTCGGTCCCAGCGGCTGCGGATAGCACGAGGCGAACGCGGTTTCCAGCCGTCTGCGCACGCCGGGACAGATGCAGTGCGACCGGACGACGACGACGTCGTCAGCGTAATAATAACACGTTACGGTTACGGCTACCACCCCGTCGCCTGTGCGCCACCCCCAGGGGATCGATGCACGATTTTCCCGGCGGCGGTCGCGTGCCAGCGGCGATGTCGTCCCGAAGATAAGTCGAAAACAACACGTCCCCGAAATCGGTGGACGGATAAAACCGTGCGCTACTACCGCGTACCGTGTACTGTATGAATCAAGCAATATCAATAACCACCATGAAAATGTCGATGAGATAAATACATAAGTGCGGCACGTTTTTTTTTTTTGGAAATCAAAAATTATTATCAAACCTATTGCATTAACTGTCTAATGTTTTATCGCCGTCCTCTACAGACCCATTATAAAAAAACTCGTTTTGGCTGTTGCGTGATCGCAATCGGCATTTATGCGGATGATAATAACTCGGTACTGTTGTCCTCGACAGAACTCGCGAGTTGCCATCACACCGAGGGGAGCAATAACTGTAAAAGTATATACTGGCACACCAGTGTTAATGACGTTAACGTAATTACCAAGGGTGCGTATACCCTCGACTGCATTAAACACATACGGGTTGGCAGCCGTTTCCGGGAGGGCGAGGCTGGACTCTGAACAGATCGGCAGTGATCTAAATGTGTACGTATTGGCGGTGCTGGTACAGTTGTCGTTCGTAAACAACTGAATATCACGGGATGAAATTATTTGGACATATTATGCATTGGTGGTCGGATACGTTTTAGTTGAACTTTAAATCCATAAATAGAGTTCAGCTAAGCGCGATGGAAATACATCGATATATTAAAATAACATTTGGATCTGTCTTGATAAAAGTGAAGTTTATACATGTATTTATATTGTTTTCAAAATGTCTTGTTATTCCATCCTGGGGGCCTATTCTCAAACGCATCGAAAGTGATGATCGAATAGAATAGTTCGATTGACACTATTCGATCATAAAAGTTCATTCGACACAGAATATTCGATCTATCGTATTCTCAAACGACTATCGAATGTTGATCATCGAATAAAGTAATATTCAATACACTATTCGATTGACGAAAAAAATCATTGCTTTTTCCATGATATTATCTGTTGTAAACTATTAAGTTAGTAAGACACGCATATCTAACGCTTCATCATTTAAAATGATATTGTATTCAACATAAAAATATAAGTCTTACGAGCAATAAAGTTTCGCACCACATAAATCCTCGGCAGACATGACTTCTCCTGCCGCAGCCTTTATTAACGGAAGACCAGCAAGAAAAATTGTTCCGATATTTCTCACAATTACATTCTCATCAGCCATAGTAAGCAAGTAAGCAGCGCCTGCCGTACAGCTCTCCATCACTACGGCTACCTGAAACATTAATGTCATTTAAACTCTTTTAAGTAAAACTTTATAAATTGGATAATTTTAACATTCTTACTTGAGTAATATTTTTTGAAGACATAATAGCTTCATTGAAAAATATTCTCCCAAAATGTTCTCTGTCAGGAAAAATGTCTGCCTGTTTTTTCAAATAACCACCACCAGTGTCGACCAAATAAACGTAAGGTTACCGTATTACATTATTAAAATGTTAAAATTATTATTCAATTAGAATTTTTTTTTGTGTAAAAAATTATTATTAAATTGATTTTCGATCAAATTTTAATTTATTTTTATCACTAATAGTTTATTTATAATTATATAGTTTAAATTACGGAGAAATTTAAAAAGCACATTTTTCACTGGGAAAACTTGAGTTGGGTAATTATGATAAAAACAAGATAAAATCAACCGTGGATCAGGCACGTTTTCGGGGGGAGTAGGGGTGACCCCCCGTTGGCCGTATCAAATTGTGTTAATTTAATTTGATGTACTATTAAATTGCATTATCTTACGTAATAACATTATAATGTATTGCTATTATTATTACAAATTTTCGTCTTTTATTTTTATTACATAAATTAATGAATTGTCGATAAAAACAATATTATTGTGACCGTATGATGGACGACAACCGTCAGCCGGCCAGCCCCAGCCGACTCATAGAGTATACTTATTTATAATCCGCCCCTCCCGTTATGGTAGGTTGGATCCGCGCCTACCGTGGACCCAATTCACGTAGTATCAAATGTGACCATGGACCCAATTTGAGTATTATTAAAGAACCGCGGACCCCAATCGTGCTTTTTTAAGCAATCAAATATCTCAGGACCCAACTAAAAAGTTTCCTTTACATCAATGTATATCTATATAATTTAAATCACTAAAATGTTATTATAAGTAGGGTGCAGATTTTTATGTAATAAAAAAGTCAAAATATGTAAATATTTATGTTCTTATTTTTGCTAAAATATTTATTAAAAACCGTAAGATATTTAACAAAAAAAAATTGGTATAATATACCTATTTTTTTTTCCCAAATTTATTCTTCTGATAACGTATGTTGCTTATCAAAGTTAACATTTTTTAAAAATTGTCTTGTCAGTTTAATTCTAAAATGTTTAACCTTTCAATTTTCGTATAATGTCCATGACTAA